TATGTCATATCGCGAAGCTTTAATGTCTGGACGATCTACTGGATTGGAAAATTCCTTCTGGAAAGAGAAAACGAACAGCTGTTGTTCATATAGACAGCAATACAGGTTTTCTTAATGGTGGTCTATACGAATTTGAATCAAAGTCAACAAAACATTACCAAGAAGAAATGGATAGCAATAATTTTAAAAAATGGTTTGAAAAAATATTATCAAAATTAGAAAATAATGCTGTTGTTGTCGTGGACAATGCTCCATATCACTCAGCTAAAACTGAGAAGCTTCCAAATTCTAGTTGAAAAAAAGCTGACATAATTTCTTGGTTGAAAAAATGGGGTTTGTTATAAAAACAAAATGTTTAAAATTAAACTTATGAATATTGTTAAAAAAATAAAACATAAATAAGATAAATATATTATTGACGAAATGGTCAAAGAAATGAGTATCGATGTGTTAATGAGATTTCAGAAAGTGTTGTAGAAAAACTGATTATTCAGTCTAACACAAGTAGTGACGAAAGCGATATAAATGATTACTTTGAGCAACTATCTTCTGATACAGATGATTAATAAGGTAAGTTTACGCTGTAATTATTTTAAAACATTTTTAATTATATAAATATCACATAGATAAATTCATACATTACAGTAACGTTTTCTCTAGAGGTAGTGGTTTGCGTATTATTTTTAGGATTGCAAAAGAATTTTTTTCGTTTTGTTTTATATTTATTTAATAAAATAGTTGTGTAGATATAAATTCTGAAGTATGTTCAATTACAAAATTATAAACATGTTTTTTAAGTCTTAATAATATATATTTAATAATAATTTTTGACAAACTACTGTATATTTAAACGGCTACGTAAAATGTTAAAGTAGACTATAATAACTTTTCTAAGTACTGTATTATCTCGGTAATTTTTAAATTGTTGTGATAACTCTGACCTACTTTAACACGTGCAGAGAAAGAAGCTTAACTGGTAAAATCTGCCCCACTGTCAATCGGCTGTTGTCATGGCAACACGACTTGGACTCGGACCAGTCGGTCCAGTCGGTCATTGTGTGAAACTGTTCTTAGATGTGAAAAGGAAACAGACAGACAGTCAGAATTACCTTCGAATTTATATTATTAGTATGGATTAATATGAATTTCTGCTATAAGGGGTGCGCGAGTTTGAGCTCTTTCTTGAAGTGGTACAAAAGAAAAACTAATTGCGAACCACTGGGTTAGACTAAACGGAATTTAGAGTAAATAATTTTTATAATCTGTGCGGGAAAGATGTAAAGAAACATAAGTGAGAAATATAAGCAGATTTTACAAATATATTTTTCAGGTAATAAATAAATCTTATCAAAACGTTCATCACATAATATAATTTCATTTTATTTAACATAGAATGTACATCTTTTACGATTTTTACAACATAAATTCTAGGTATATCATCACTAATAAAAGTTCTGTACTTTGTATAATTTCACTTATTCTATTACATACAGCTTATATTAAATAATTATTTTACACGATGTAACTGAATTAACGAAAACATTATTATCACTGTAACAGCAACTACAAAAATATTCTAAAAGAAATAAAGTACAGTACCCTTAAAGTTAAGTAACGTATATGCCTACAAATTTTTACTTATATCTACATTTGAGACAATTGCCTTCCGGGAGGACTTTCTTGGGAAGCTGACCCCTATTCAGGTTATAGATACGTGAAGAAAACCCGGAAAACTTCACGTGGCCAGCCCGTTGGTGAGATGCGAACACAGGACCAACTACCAGTGTTTAGTAAATATTCACTCGGCCACTGGTGGGCCACTTCTATTTGATTTAGTACACGTTGTTAATATTAAAAACACATTACAATATCATAAGGATACTTATTAGCATTTTATGAATAGCATTTACAGAACGAGCTTAAACAGAAGCATTTATATGTTACAAGAAAAATCGTACTACAACTTTCGAATTTTATTGAACAGCTCAAAATTTTAAATTTGTGAATACAGTTAATATTTGAATAAACGTATTCACTACAAATACTTCTAAATTTTTAGGAATACTTAACACGAAACAACATTAAACAATATATCAATATTATGAATAGAAAATTTAATTTTAATTCTTTTTCGAAAATATTCCTATTTTGAAAAGCAAAGAGTTTTTGAAACCTCTTAATTTTCTGCGAGATAAACAGATATTTCCGTAATAAAACACAAGTTCTATAATGAATATGACTATCGAAAGCAAATAACCAACGAGCAATAAATACATGGGACCTATCAAATGTTCCAATTTTAATGCATTGTCTTCCTTTACCTCAACCAGTTCGTAAAATTCTCTTTTTCTTCGAACGTCTTCTTCCTGATCTTTTTGCAGCTTTTCAGCAATTCCAGATTGATGAATAATATTGATTCTAGAAATTTATAAAACCTGAAGAATTAGAAAACAAAGATACTTAAAAAATATCGTAGGAGGCATTTTAGGAAACGATTTGCAATTGATTTGTTCTGGGAATGCTTTATTTGTTACAAGCATTGAATCAATGAAAATTTTATTACGTTTTAGACAATTGTCTGACGACTTCATAGTTGTGTTACAAAACTATACTTTTCATCTATTACCTTATCAGTCAGAGTCAGCCACATAGAGTTAGGGAAGGAATAATAGGGTACTTCTTGTATCACTTTTTCGGCATTTCTTCTTAACCGAGTTGTTCAATTATTTGAAAATTTTTTTAACTATATCTGGATTCGTAAATTAAATAGCCACAATTAAATATAAGACCTTGGCAATCCTGAATGTTTGAAATATTGATTTGGATTACTAATTACATATTATTGTAGTATTTTCATCGCCATTGCAAAACTCATTAAATTAATCCAGTTGTGTACAAACCTCTTATACAGCTGCTTCCAGTCTACGGATTGCTATCAAATGCGTCACCTGGTTTGGCAAAAGCTGACTACAATTGAAATTAATAGTCGTCGTGATGTAGTAACGAAATCAAGTAATAACTATCCACGCAAGTTGTGTTAGCTTTGTATATATTACAATTGCAAATGATTTCCGAACCTGCCTCGTATTTATACTTACGTTTTTTGGAACTCATATATGTATGGAAAAGGATTTTTCCTACATATGTAATCAAAATCGGTGTATAAGATATCAGAGGAAACAAAAAACTTTTCCGCACCGAACTCCTGAATTTCCTTATTAATATCACTTGGAGAAGCGAGCAGAGCTGTTTTCTCGTATAAAACGTTTTGTAATCCGTGCGACGCATTATATAAAGTATCCCATCCATTTAAACGAAAATACGTACTTACAAATTCATACATTTTAAAGTTTTCTCCAAAGAAAACTATTTTCTGTAATAAATAAAATAGAAATTTAATGCATTAAAATATCATCTTGCTTTCTGAACATTTATAACTTTAGAACTCTTGACTTTTGATATAATGACAATGATGACGATAAGATGACATTTATTGTCTATTATATTAAAATACATTACGATCAGGTACTGTACTTTGGTAAGATATTCTAAAAAAATATTATTAGAGAAACCACGTAAGTAAAATAAGAGAACAATTGTTTTTATACAGAAGTTTCCAAAGCAATTCAGGCATTTTTCGAAATATAATATTTAGCATATGATTGCAGGGATTATGTGGCTTTCAAAATCAAAATTGAAGACTATTCTGTCTGATCATTTTGAGTTGACATTCTTTCAAAATATTGTGTTTACTCTTTTCTACGCCTTTCTAGTTATTTTTTCCTCTTATAATCATTGTTTTTTATTACATGCTTCTGTTTTATTTTTCCTAAGTTATCATTTTTATTCCAAATAAAGTTAATGTTATGAAAATTAAGTTTGGTTATTTTTTTAATTTTTGTTAACTGTCTATTGTGAGAATAAAAATTATATCTTAAAATTACAGTAAATAATTATATCTTTACAGTAAATAATTATATCTATTTTTTCATATGGTTTACAAAATCGGATGACACAAGTGACACTGTTTTGTAAAAAAAGGAAACGAACTTCCTTTCACAAAAGTTCATCTCTGATGTTAAAAACATTTGGATATCTAACCCCTCTGTACATCACTTAAATTTTATGGTCGAAACTGGCGACAAATGGGGCTTCCCGCTAATTGGGGAAGTCCTCTATAATACGAAAGTGCCATAAACGACGCCAAAGAAATTGGAAAGTGCTATGAGAGAGACAGTTCAGTATTTAGGAACGTGCCATAACTAACGGGCGGTTTTTGTGCTGAGAAGCAAGCATCTAGCTCCCTCACTCAGATCATCTTCCTCGAGCCTCATTCAACGAGAAGATTGACACCGAAAGCTTCAACCCAGGTAGTATGTCTAAGTCGTAAACTCTCTCTCTGCGATATTTCGTTTTGTGTATTTCTTTATTTTATTTTACTTATTAAATCTTTTTTGTTTTGTGTTAATCTGTTTATTCCTTCGATTAGTTAAGTACGGAAATTCACCCCGCTACGATCAGAACGCATCCGCGACTCCTTCTCGCTCGATAAAATATAACCCTCCTTTTAAACGTAACATGTAACTTCGCGATTTAAGATGTGAAACTTTCATTCTAGCTGGTGTCAGTCCTGAAAAGTGTGGCTGCAAAGGACATTTTATCTTACACTTAAGAATTTTTGATGAACAGGGAAAACATGAAAAACATATAATCTTTACATAAAGTTTAAACTACAATAAAATTTTCAACTTATTATTTAGAGAAATTACATTATTATATTAAAATTAAAATTTTACAATATAATGCAAAAATGATTCAAGAATATATATACATATATATATATATATTATACAACCAGTAGGAGAAATGGAATACGTTAATAGTTTCATAATAGTAAAAATTCCCTTTTTCGAATTTATTTGTAAGAATGTTTACGCAATATTAAATATAAAATTAAATAAACAAAATAACTTACCCAAATGAAAAAACTAGCCGTCGAACCATCAAAAGTTTCCATTCGATACTTTTCCTGCTTTACAGCTTCGTACAGTTGAACAAAATTATGCGGAATCACTTCCTCCCCTGGAAAGATCAAAAACGAAGGAAGAATGCCCAAATATCCAGAAGACAAAACGAATGCCATTAACATCCAAATTCCAAGGATCATATACTTTGTCTTCAATCTGATGGATTCTATTTCAATATCTGCAAGAAAAAATTCTTTAATTTAATATCAATTACAGAAAATTAGTGTTATCTTCAAATAAGTATCTGAGTAACTTTATATGACAGGAAATAAAAAATGACAGCAGCCATGTAATAAGCCATTATCTGGCACTCACCTTGACGAAAAAAACAACGGACTACAATCCAAAATATGCTAAACAATTTTGGAGCTTTCATACATTTCATTTTCGCTTCTGAAGTGAAGAGCAAAAATAAACTGAGAGTTATGAGTGGAATCGCTAGTCCAGCAAATAACCAAACCTGAAATTTTATTTAAATACTATTAACTGGAAAAAGTGATTTTAAAAAAATAGTTTACGATAATAACCACAAGACTGAATGGCTTGAGTAGAGCAATGGATTTGTCTAATGGTTCGGCCGCTTTGATGATAAAAATTTTGAAGTTTCAGATACAGCAGAAGGAATGATTCTGTCGTAGTTTTCGGGCATGCCACAAGGAACTCGTAAAACCTGTGTCGTTTTAAATAAGATACAAGATCATTTTGTCAAAAACACTCTAATTAGTTAAAAAATTCTAAAGCATACAAAATTTATTTTAGAAAAGATGTAAGATCCAAATGAATATCGTTGGCATTGCTATTTAAATCATTTTCCATCCAGATAAAGTATACAAAGATGTGTTTTCAATGGAACACTTTAGATATTGAAAATTTTTTATCAATACTCTTGATGAAAACACATTATTTGAATAGATTTTTGGCATTTTAAATATCATATGCAAGTGGGTAAATGCAATCCACATATAATGCATTGTCATTATTGGTAATCAAATATCCTGGTTGAATTTGTCGTAAATAGTAAAATCGTTTATTTTATGATATTTTGTGAACATTATTTTTAACTTGCACAGCTCTATTGTACAATAATCACCTGTATTTCCGGAATACAATGCGCACTTCTAAGATATCATTACATAAAAATTAAATTTTAAATAATGTTGCAAAAAGAATTATTTGACTTGTCACATCTTTGCATAAATTTATTGTCATAAATACTAAAATATCAAGAAAATAGAAAATATAGAGAAATATAGAATATAGAATATATATAGAAATATATAGAGAATAGAGAATATATCAAGTAAATAGTAAAAGTTTTCTGGGGTTATTTCTAACAAAATAAGTAAGAACCACACAAGAAATTGTGAAATCAAATGCAATTCACAAATCAATATCTTTGTTAAGATCAATAAATAAATATAAACTTATATAGCCTTTTACCACATATATTTATCACTGAAAATATTTATCTTTTGTTCTATTACATTTCATTGAATGAATATTACTTTACTTACCGCATCATAATCTGGTACATGAGCCGTACTATTAAAGTAAAAATGAAATTATTAACATACATATTGTCATTATTCCAAAAGAAGTAAAAAACAGTTTTCATAAACATACCGAAAATCATATTTTTCTTTCAGCAAATTAAAGATTTTTACAATAATTGTGTCGCCCTGAAGTAATGCTGTTTCATTGTCCACACCATATACGTTATGAATCTAGTAAATAATAAATAAAAAACAATTTTATTATAACTTGGTATTTTACAAGTAAAGATATGAATTTTCAAAGATTGACACAGAGACGTACAAAATTGCTTATCTACTATTTTACAAAACTTATGAAATTTATAATGTTAACAATAACTCATTACTCACATGCTAAATACATTTTCGGGTAGGGTATTTAGTTCAGAAACTCGCCACTACAGAACCTGTGGTGCTGTACGCGTAAATAACTGTCGTAAAATATTTAAACATGTAACTATTAAAATGCACTTGAGTAATTAGTATTCTTTTCATTCAACCACTTTACAAGAAGGAATTCAGGTACAGTCACGATTATCATTATTTTTAATTCCGGTAATGTAAATCTATTTCACATACCAAAGACAGTTTTATATCCAAAAGTTAACCATATCACATGTTTATTAACTTTTGTTCTGTATTTCTTGCCGCTTGTAGTGCATTGATTTTTAAACTAAAGACTTTCATTGTATTCAGTTTCACATGTATGAATATGACATCATTAAAACTTTCTTTACGTGCTACGTTTCTTTCATCAGAAGTGAATACACGTAACTAATTTATGTTCAACTTGTCATAATGAAATGACAATAGAAACAGCGCGGTTAAATTAAATAAAAAAAATTTGCCGTAACGTTATGGGTAATTTGCTAATTTAAAAAATTCCTTCGATATGTAAACACAGTTCCTGATTCAAGATGTTTACTTGTTAATGCTTATTCGGCGTTCTCTGTTGTAGCACTTAAAGTACGTTGTGTTATTATCCACTCAGAAAGAAATATCTACATTTGAATGTTCGAGAGAATGAACTGAATCAACACTTATATTTCGTTCATAACATATAAAACAGTTATCCATTTTTCATCTGATTTGATTCAGAGTGTACCAATTTGCAGCTCTGGTATATCCTGATTTGAATTCAAATGAAAAATTATAAAAATATTACATAGGGTTCCAATACATATATGTCAGACTCTGTCTCTTACTATTTGACTTTCAGTGAGGTTGCCCAATCCGTAGCAAATACAATTAAAAGCAGTATTGGTGCCTTCGTGGAAAAAAAGCCTAAAACTGGGCGCAAATTGAAATATGTTATAATGTGATTTAAGTTATACAACATTAGTGTTTAGCACTAGTGTATATTTCTGGTTTCTTTCTGAAGATTTTTACCGAGTGTAGCTGAACACAGAGCGTAGTAAAAACTTTTGTAATATATTTGTAGTAGAAGTGTCGTTTTCCCTCTTTCTACTTTCTGGGCACAAAATTAATCTTATGTAACAGGTCAATTAATTGTTCAACTAGGTACACGATAATTCTGATTTGATTGTATAAGATTTTCATATAAACAGAAATGTAATATAGATTAATGTGCATATATTTATGCTGTAGGTTATTAACTGTATCATAACTAAAAATTATGAAAACTTTACTTACATATGGTAGGCATATCTTAACAGTAATGTTCCTATGAATCTTTGTTTTGTACTTAAATTTATATGGATAAGATTCACAATTTTCCACATTGAGACACTGAAACAAAAGGTCAAAATTACACATGATAAGTTTAAATTACACGTGCGTTGATTACTTACGATTTTAAACATTGTCTCTTCAACTTTGAGAACAAAAGAAGCGTTTATTTGAGTTTTAACAGGATGCATCTGAGACCAGAATGTAGGTGCATATTGTAATCTGATTTCTACTGTTCCGAAGTACATTGGATTCCATGGTATGAAACAAGACACTTCTGTGACCACTCCTTGTTGATTTAGAAGGTACGGTATGTCTCCTGAAAATAATCGTTTCTCTATAAGTAGTATATGTTTGATACACCTTGGCTGACAAATTTCTATGGCAAAATATAATGTACCATAAAAAATACATTAGACTTAAAATTTTTTATTTTGTTTTGGAATAATGTTTGATTTACAATCATAATTTTTGTGCAGTCTTGTCTAAGACTTAATATATATCCGCAATAGTGTAATAGGAATAATAGAAATAGTGTTGTTATTTATATAGAAATGACTGAGTTGCTGATATTTTAAAATGTGGGACTATTTTTTTGAAGATAAATTGAAATACATTGTTTTGGATATGGAATAATATCAGAACATTTTTTCAAGTTTAAGGGGTTAAAAGAACATATAAAATTTTGTTTAGATTATAAATTTTTATCTGTACCAACTATAGATAAAGAAATAGTTAAATTTTATTCTAATGTAAAATCTTTGTTTTATCTTGTTTGTATATGTACAAGCTTTGAATCAATTTTGCAGAAAATTTCATTGGGTATGACGAGTACATCAATATGTTTTCTCAATACAATTGAAACTTATAGACCTATTTGTTGTTCAATTATTATTATTAAAAATAAATATAAGATAATGCTAATTTTTATTTCGGAAATGATTTAATAAACCATTTTTTAGTAAATATTCAACAACTTTTAAATGACTTATTTAAAAAAGTAGAATGTAATGATAATGATGTTAAAGTTGGAGATTATAGTCATAGAAATGGAGAAAATATATTTGATAATGATTACAATCATGCTGAGATAGTTTGCAATAAATTTAACTTTTAAAAATTGTCTAAAATTATATCAATATGTTGGTACATTATTATTAGCAAACATATTTCAAAATTGTAGATTATTAAGTTTAAAATATTATAAATTAAATTCAGTATATTTTATAATTACATCTGATTAAACATAGAATTGTGGATTAAAACTCACAAAAACAGAATAAGAATTATTTAACGATATTGACAAATACTTATTTATAATAAAAGGAATTACTGGAAAAATAAGTTTAATTGGGAAATGATTTTAAAAAGCAAATGACGCATTATATCCAGATACTTAGAGATAGTAAACATTAGGTGTTTGAAACTTTGATAATGCACATTTTAAAAAACCAAGAGGTTTGCATATGTTTACACATGTTAAACATAATCGCCTTTGCATATGTTTACACATGCAAAGGCGATTATGGTTAGAAAATTGGAATATTAATACATAACTAAGGAGATGATGACTTTATAATAAAAAAGGGGGATGTAATAACTTAAATTATTTTTGAAAAAACACATCATTTAATACTACTGGAAAAATCTTTTTTAAAAGCTGTCAAGGAATGTACAAAAAATATTAGTAGAAATAATATTGTAGAAGAAAGTTACATAGAAAATATAATTGAAATTCGTAATGATTAATGTGAAATTTAAAAGAATGTTGATGGTGATGATAAAAAGAATTATTATTGTCAGGATGAAATTTTTTATTATAAGAAATGTTTAAAACATTAATATATGTTATCATCTACTCTTCCTGATTTAACATTATAAAATTGTATATAAATTTATAGTTAAAATATATTGTGTTCGAGTTGCTATGTGAATAAAAAGAATGTAAACCAATTTAGTAATTAAACAAAAAATTGTTTTATATTCGATTACAAAGTATATATATAGCTGGTTGTGTCTTACTTTTTAGACTTACAAACATCATGGGAATTGTTAGTGAAAAATATTGTTTTTTTATCAGTAGACAAAGACAAATTTGAAATTTTAAACAATTTGTACACTGGGAAATAATAAGTTGAAAATCTAATTTAAGTCATCAATTTATTTATGACTTTGTTCATTAATTAAATTACAATTATATGCGGAAAAATTTCTAACTTCATTTATTGAAAATAATATTAAATACAAGAAATGGGATTTAATTTTTCAGTATCAATTATTATATGATCAATTCATTAATATATTCAGTTACTCTATTGCTAATAAAAAAATATCTCAATACTAAAATCAATCATATACATTTATGAAAATAACACTAAATTACATATTAAATTAGTCTTAATCTATCAAAATTTAACTACAGACACTTTAACTAACTTACAAAATGTTTAGGATTGTGAATTAGTTTTAGGATATCAATTACTTTTTGAAGATTTATAGACAAATTACACAATTGTCTTTCTTGGTGTTAAATTTTAAAATAACAGCATCTCAGTCCTTTCTATATAAATAACAATACTGATAATCTATTACTTTACGTTCTTGCAGATATATATCATGTCTTAGACAAGAAAGCACAAAAGTAACTTTTGATTGTAAATAAAGCATTAGAGAGGTTGAGGCGCACGTTTTAAACGTGTAAACGTGTACGTGTGACGTTCGGCGCCGCTTTCCCGTAAGCCTAAAAGTTTGACGATGGTGTTTGAAATGTCGAGCATGATTCCACCGACTATCCAAACACCATACACGTTTAAAACGTGCGCCTCAACCTCTCTATTATTCCAAAACCAAACCAAGAATTCTAAGTGTATTCTATCTTATATCGTACATTATATTTTGCCATATAAATTTGTAAACCAAAGTATATCAAACCTATACTACTGATATATTAAAAAATGTAGTTGCTTCATTAATTAATGCTTTTTAGGTATGAATTTATACTCACTGAATAGCGTCTCGTTACATATATATTCGAATGCCACGTACAATAGTTTAATATTCATTGTTTTTACATCTGAAATATAGTTAACAAATTTTACATATCAGTATTATTAAATAAGCTTAGAATTAAAACTTCATTATTAGCTCTATCTTAAATGTAATAAATAATACTACAGAATAAGTTTGTTAATCTGAAACTTGTCAATGCAGTGTTTATTGATTTATTCATGGATTGCTTAATCTGACACTCTTTCAAATTGTAAAACTTTGTACCAATAATTTTATTGTATTTTCTGAAAACTTGGTATAATATAACTAATTTGTTACACTCGTTAAAAAACTACTAAATAGTAATACCTGTCATGGGTTATCACCAAGCCAATGTGTAAACACGTGGAGTTTTTACAGATTTTCTTCAGTTTTAACTTAGAACTCTGATGTGTTTTTTCCTAAAAGCTTTTCTTGGGAGGAACCAGTTGTTCATAGGTCATTTCGGTGTGGTATTATGTTATTTCTGGAATCTAACTCTATTCAGTAAAACCGGATTTTTATATAATAACTAGCTGCAAGTACCTGCTTCGCTAGGGTTTTATTTGTTGTACATTTATATGTAATAAATTTATATATATATATATAAAAGACTGTTTCCATTTCTTAACATAATCTTTTTCTGATTCGATGTGTTTCCCTATAATTTTTAAGTTGCTCTTCTGTCTGATTATTTCTGTTCTACTGATAATATTGTCATAGCAATGTTAGATGTACTTCTTTTTTTTCATGGTTTCATTTCTCCGTGCCATCTTTTTCCTTTGAAATATGATTTGAAACCGTAAAAATTCTTTTTTTATGCTTTGTCATTGTTTTTTTTTAATTTTTACTTTTCACACTTTACTATTCACTTTTCACTTTCTACTCTTTTCAGTTATTCGTACACTTTTACTTTTGAAAAATCAACTGAAGCATGTGCGTCATATGACTTCAAAAGCCATCCACAGTACTCACCCATAACAGTCCTTGACTATTCCAAAACATTTTCGAGTATTCGAAAACATTTAAGGTAAAGATTAAAATTACATTATAGCCAATCTTACCCGTTTTCACATAATGCAAGGATTAGGTCTCCAAGTTTCCAGCCTAATTAGTAAACTTTTACATAGTTCTAAAAATATGTTTGATTTCCTGCAAAAACGCAAAAACCGCATCTGTGCCTGTACATCTTGCACATCGCTTTCTCTTAACACTTCAATTGTTATTTAACCACTTCCATTGTTAACCCGTTCATTGTTAACACTTTTATTGTTAACACTTCCCTACAGGAAAGTGTTAACAACATTTCCCCGCGGGGGGGAATTTCGAAAAATCCCTTCTTAGTGTACATTCTCGTGACAAGCTCTATTAAAACGTAATCAAAAACGCAAAAAAACGTATCTAAAATAGTGTAATAAAAGTTGAGTTCTTCATGGAAAGCCTTAATTCTGTCTCTCTCTCTTGCGGCGGGAGAATTTTGAAAAACCCCTTCTTACTGTTTGTTTTTATGATACACCTTAACTGTGTGCCAAATTTCAACTTTTAACTCCTACCCGTTTGGGCTCTGCACTTCTTATTCTTATTCAGAGTGGCTATTTCAAAGAGGAATTTTGGCAACTAAAAATAATATTTTCAACAATATCAACTTTAATATTCCAAAAGATTCCCAGTAATATTCGAAAGAAAATTCCCGGTGATAATTAAAAGAAAATTTAAAACTGGCAAGAGCTCCTCCTTTTTTAACTTTGGGCATTGTATAAAATATAAATCTAATCAACTTTTTATTATCAAATACACTAAGTACACTTTACACAGTATTCACACTTTATTTTCGATTTATATTCAGTCACTGTATTACTCTGACTATTCACTTTACTGTTTGTTTTTATTCACTTACTCTTTCTCGGTTCTTCCCTTTGTCACTGATAAGAAACTGACGTTCGAACCCACGACGGATCTTACTTTATATACCTGTGAAGGTCTGAAACTTTTTTTCTGTTTTAGAACAGTATAAACCTTCGAATTTTCCTTGTAAAGGAAAAAGGGGGACTTCTACGGTCAATGACGCTATGCTCGAGTAAGAAAAAAAAGGGAGTGTTAAAATATCAATAAAAAAATCTCCTTTGTTTGTTTAAAGGTAATTCTATAGACGTTAATATCAACAAAACGGGAATAAGGGAAGTTTCTTACCTCCCTTCTGATTGCACGTGACACGTGGTTACGGC